CTTTGCACGCAGTATATAAGTCGGAACGGCCGGGATCGGCCGACTATATCCTATAGCTGCCATATAACTGAACGATCGAAAATGCCATAACTTTGGTGTTTTTAAAGTTAGGAAGTTGTGATTTTCTATGGGTTTTACATTTGGCCAATCAATTTGACGTACCAAATTTTATAAGGATCGGCCGACTATATAGTATAGCTGCCATATAACTGAACGATCGGAAATGCCACAACTTTGGTGTTTGTAAAGTTACGAAGTTGGGATTTTTTATGAGTATTAAGAATGCATCATATGAATAATTTTGGAAAATATAATTTACAGAGTATTCTGCAAGGGTATATCAACTTCGGCTCCGCCCGAAGTTAGCTTTCCTTTCTTGTTATTTATTTATTAATTTTATATTTATTTTTTTTAATTTTTATATTTTCCTATGGGAGCTATATGATACAGATGTCCGATTAATTAAATTATGACCGTAATTCCATAGTAGACCGACGAACGGACATGGCTAGATCGACTCTCCTGGTGATGCTGATCAAGAATATATACTAATATACTTTATAGGGTAAATTAAATTTTAGTAAATTATACTTCCCTCTGCAAGGGTATAAAAATAGCAGATGAAAAACTGAAAATGGGAGGAGGTTGGGCAAATAAGGAATGTGCGCTTGGTTTTGGGAAAAGAGAGAAGACCTCATGAAAGAGATCGAAATGAAAATCTATAAAGGTCTTTTTTACAACACAGCAAACAAAAAAACAAAATATATATTAATAAAATTGAATTTCCCCACAAGCGTTTTTAAAACACTTTCAACAAACCCAAAATGCGAAAATTGCAAACTAAAGAACGAAATAAAATTAAATTAACCTTCTCTTCTCTCTTTTCAGTTTGCACTCGAATAAACCGCAATTAGTTTAAGGGATTACAAGGATTTCATGCTAAACATTTTTCAACAAACTAAAATTAGTGGACTTTGTTTCTTTACACTCAAAAAATTAGAAACGAAACAAATATATAAAAATATTTTTGTCTTCTCAAAAATTACTTTTGGTTTTTTGTAAGAGCGTTCTATCCGCATTATTGGAACCTTGGCTATATATATATATATATATATATATATATATATATATATATATATATATATATATATATATATATATATCCTTGCAGAGGGTATTATAATTTTAGTCAAGATATTGCAATGCAGAAGGCATTACATTGGCCATTACTACGCATACTAATCAATTTTAAAGCAATCTAGATTAAATTTTCAAAAAAGTCTTCTGTTGTTTAGGCACGTACAATCAATAAAATAAGTGAAACAAAATGATACCCTCGAAGTTTTTAAACATTTACGTTTATACTCCAAGATAAATTATTTTTTAAAAATTATAAGAAACTGGTATTTTTACAAAGATGCCAGGGACACGCTGGAAAAAGTATTTTAAGTCTACATAGATTTATTGTTTTTAAACATCTACGGATAACAAACGAAGTATAGTCGTTTTGTATAATATTTTATTTTTAAAAAACCTACAAGGGTATCTTAACTTAGGCATCCCTGTTCTATTCAAAGATTTATTTTATTGTAATTTTGTACGTAAGCCTATTAAATATTTTGTTTCAAAAAAAGAAGTTATTGCCGAAGTTTGCTTCCTTTCTTGTCAATATATAGAAAGCTTTATGTTTTCTGTGCAAATCATTTGTATACTGTTCAAATCTACATACATATGTATATATCGAATTTTTAACTTACAAACATTGATACCATTTCTTTTACTGTTTACGTAACCTGAAATGTTAATTAAAAATCGGACAACATGATTTCAGCAAAGAGCTCAATAATGAACAGTCAAACCAAAAATTAAATAAACTTCCAAGCCAAAATAAAGAGAATGATAAGGTAGAAACGTTGCCAATTTAATGGTTTGGTAATTTGCTTTGACTCAATGGCATGTTGGCACGGCAGGAATATTCAGGGTTTACATAAAAGTGTGGATGCAGACTCTCTTTGAGCATTTCAAAGAAAGGAATTGGGGAAGGATGCAGTACATCCGGATGAGGGAAAGGTGAAAGTAAGAGGAGCATCCAAGCCATGCAGACATATGTTAATTGCTTTGTTCTCAGGAGAGCAGGTGGGAAAAGCGTCTTGTTATTTTGATGGCTCAGTGCCAATTCACCTGCCGCCCCACCATCCACCCTCCAACCCAACCTCCCCCTCCCCTACCCACATCTCGAAAAAACTTTTGTTTTTTGCGTTGTTTTACCCGCAGCTGCACTTTGTTGTTGGGTTTGGTAATTATTGTTGCTCTTATTAAGCGCGTTGTTTTAGCCGTGTGTTTATTTAGCTGTTAACAATATTTCGAGTGCATTTCACATTTACATTTTCACACACAATTGTCATCGCTTGTGCCCACTTAATTCATATTTAAATTTTTGATTATGTTTTAAATTACATTTTTTCATGGGAATTAATTTTGACTGAGCTGGCAAATATTTAAAATGGAATTAATTGCGAAAATATTTGAGAATATTAATTCATACGGAAACAATAAATAATGGAAACTACGGCAAACCGAAGTTTATATACCCTATCAGCGTTTACACAAATTCATTCTAAAATTCCCCATATCTTGAAGTAAATCCAAATATAATATGTTACAAAAACTACGAAATTTCAATTTCTTTATTATAATTTTTGCGAATATTTTGATGGGATCCATATGATATATTCCAATTCGTCCCGATCTGACACATATATATATTGGGAATGTTTCATGCAGATCTCTGTAAAACAGACAGAAAGATCGACATGGCTAGATCTACTTTATTGAATCGGAGATGTCTCTTTTACTGATTTGCAATCTTTTTACTAAAATTTTAGTACCTCTTGCAAGGGTATACCAATATAAGCTGAAGTGGATAAGGATTATAAGTAATTATGTATTCAAATATTTATTTGAGTAACATATAATTTAGGTGTTATGTTTTATTACCTAATATTATACGATTTATTTTATAATATTTAGTTATTTGGAAAATTATGTGGTTTAATTTAATTGTTGGATATAAAAACAAATTTATATCAAAAATTTATTCAGCACACAAATACTTCCTCACTATAAACAAGAAAGGAAAGCTAACTTCGGGCGGAGCCGAAGTTGATATACCCTTGCAGAATATTCCTTAAATTATATTCTCCAAAATTATTCATATGATGCATTCTTAATACTCATAAAAAGTCCCAACTTCCTAACTTTAAAAACATCAAAGTTATGGCATTTTCAATCGTTCAGTTATATGGCAGCTATAAGATATAGTCGGCCGATCCTTATGAAATTTGGTGGGTCGGATTGATTGGCCAAAAATAAAACCCATAGAAAATCCCAACTTCCTAACTTTACAAACACCAAAGTTATGGCATTTCCGATCAATCAGTTATATGGCGGCTATAGGATATAGTCGCCCGATCCGGCTCGTTCCGACTTATATACTACCTGCAATAGAAAGACAACTTTTGGGAAAGTTTTAAGCAGATAGCTTTAAAACTGAGGGACTAGTTTGCGTAGAAACGGACGGACGGACGGACAGACGGACAGACGGACAGACGGACATGGCTAGATCGACTCTCCTGGTGATGCTGATCAAGAATATATATACTTTATAGGGTCGGAAATGTCTCCTTCACTGCGTTGCAAACTTTTGACTGAAATTATAATACCCTCTGCAAGGGTATAAAAATATATTTAAAGAAACACTTTAGGCTGCACCATAATTTAATTTAACGACATCGATGGCTTATTATTTTTATATAAACGAGAAGTTTTATCTCAATTATACCTAAACTCATTTTACATGCAGTAAAGTCAAAACGGCGGTACAATAAAAATAAATAAAGAACACTAAAAACAAACTAAAGCAGACTCTTCCGGGTATTTTTAATTTACCCGCCGTTACCGACGAACATTAATTGTATTGGTACTAATTTAATTGGTCCTTTTTTGCGGTAATTACACCAGCAAGGGTCGTCAGAGGGAGGGGGGAAATCCAGATACATCAGGGTCAGGGGTGAAAGAGACGCATGTACATGCAATTAAGAGAGGCCGGAAAATGTAGAACCTTTGTCAACAAACAACTCAAAACAAACAAAACGGAATCGCATCCAAAAAGTGAAAATCAAATGCAACAAATTATTTGATATTGTTGAGTGTTGTTGCATTTTGTTGATTTGTGTAGGTGTTCATGTTGTCGAACTTGCTGGTTTCAATTAGTCAAACCGCAATGGTGAATGGCGAATGGTCAGCCAAAAAGTGCCGAGTTCGCAAGAGACACCTGCTGTCCTTGCCCCCTCCACATCTTCAACCCATTCCCCCCTGGCCTTTTCAACATTGTGTAAATATTTGACATGGGCACCAAAACACAGAGTAAAGCTGCATTTCTGTTTTTGTTGTAAGCCAAAATGCAAACGGCATTAGCAATGGCCAGTGCGTTTTGTCGAGGTGAATAATACTAATGTACTGTGAGAAATTTCTATTCCATCCTTCAAAAATAGATAATAGAGTGACAATTCAATCTTATCATGGGCAAATCTGATTGCTTAAGTTAACTGGATGTATAATCCAGACCTAGTTGGTCCAAAATTAAAGCTTTCATCGAAAAACTGAATACCATAAATTCGTTGTCATTATTTAGTTATCGTAAGTCTTTTTCTTTAGTGCAATTGATTACTGACGAATTTTCGACGTGACTAACCGCCAATATCAAATGAAAATTAAACGTGAAACCGAAACCGAATACAATCTGGCACCAAAAATCTGTTGGTCATTTGTGGCCACAGTCACTATTTGTAGCTGTTCATAAACAGAATCTCTTATCACCACCCATCCCACATAATGGAGCAATGTCAGCGCAACAACAATGGCTAATGACATCATGAAATCGGCGGGATGCCACAGTCTTATCAGTGGGTTCAGTACAATGGGCGCAATGCCGGACTCACCTCATTCTCAATGTTTCTTATGAGAGGGGTATTCCAGCTCTTCTCACGCATCGCCAATAGTTCCTTCTGGTGTTTCTGCTGCTTGAGGTGATGTTCGTGCTCGATTTTGTTCCACTGTTCGTTGGAGAATCCCTCTTCCGACTCGGAATCCGAATCCTCGTTCGAGTAGTCCTCTTCGCCACCGTTGTTCTTAAGATTGGCATCTATTAATTGTAGTTTTGGCCTTTCAGTGCGTGTTATGGGCTTCACAGTTGTGGTCGAGGTTGTGGTCGTTGTAGTAGTTGTGGTGTGCGGTGCTTTAACTACCTCTTTTTCCACATCTTGTTTGAACAGCCAAGCAAATATATTGCGTTTGCCAGCTGACTTATCGTGTGGATTGGCCACACTGGGATGCTTGTTGCTATAATGATTATTATTCGAAACTATATCCAATTCGTCCGATTGATCAACAGCATCGTACTCTTGTTCTTTCAAGTCAATGTGGGGTAGTTTTTGGGTGAACAAAGAGTATCTGGGCATTTGTCGGGCTAGTTCTTCATCCACACCATCAGAATCGGAGTCATCTTCGTACTCATAATCGTCGTCCTCGTCGTCTTCGTCCTCATCGCTTTCGCCATCGGAGCTACTGGAATCCACTTCCTGTCGCCAATTGGGACCTCTGGTAGTTCGAGGTTCAGCCCAAGAGGGGAAGATGCCATCCCTGTCGAAATAGCGAGTATGATTTGTGATCAAGCCGTGATGAGTGGTTGTGGGTGCCTCCGAGGTAAAGATATTTCTTGGAGTGCTGGTTCCTAGGGACAAGCGGTGTTGCTGGTGTCGCAGTGAGGGAAACACCCTCTGCTCCCAACTCAGATGGTGGCGATTGTGATGACGCAAGTGGTGCTGCTGCATGGGCAACAGTGGATCGAAGGGCTTCTTGGATCCACCCATTTCAAAGTCCCCGATTGGCGGCTGATGATTCCCCTCCAATTCGGACCGCAAATGCTGCTCGTGCCGCAGATGATGATGATGTTGCTGATGGGTTTCCAGTTGCTGTGCCTCCTGCAATCGCTGCAATCTTTGCTGCTGGTGGGCATTTCGATGACTCGAAGTGGGAGCTACTGTGGTCATTACAAAGGCTCCCTTTAAATCACTGGTGTTGGCCCAAGTGAGGGGCATTAGTATCAGAATTAGCCAATACATTTTGAAGATCATTCCGTTTCCCCTTGAGGAAATCATTGTTTTAATAGGCGGACCCCTGGAAATACTTTGCTCTTTGTATTGTTTTTTCTCACACGCGTTTATTGTGCACTTTTCTTTGTCGTTTGTTTGAGTTTAAGAATTTTCTTTTGTCTGACGATTCGCAATTATTTATGATGCTTTTTATTTTGACACTTGTTGACGTATTATCTTTATAAGGAAATTAAATTGTTTTTTGTCGAATAAAACTAATTAGAAAAACAAATTTTATGCTGAAAGTAGTTTGATTTCAGTGATTTTTCGATCTAAAAATCTATTCGTTGTCCTATAAAAAAAACTCTGTTCTTAAAATTTTTCTTTATGTCGGCACTATTTTTATCAAGAAACTCATTATTTGTTTTTTAAATTTGTTAAATAATTTTCTTTTTTTTGTATTTTTAAATAAACTTGTTTTTTTTTAAATGTAATGATTAAAAGACATTGCGTTGGTATTTAAATACTTTTGCCAAAACATTAAATGATCTTTCAATATCTTTCGACATTTATTTTCAAAGTATGTTTGTTATTATACCCGTTACTCGTAGAGTAAAAGGGTATATTGTATTCGTGCAAAAGTATGTAACAGCTAGAAGGAAGCGTTTCCGATCCTATAAAGTATATATATTCTTGATCAGGGTCACTAGCCGAGTCGATATAGCCATGTCCGTCTGTACGTATGAATGCTGAGATCTCGGAAACTATAAAAGCTAGAAGATTGGCATTTTGCATGCAGATTTTAGGAGTTCCTACGCAGCTCAAGTTTGTTTCAAAATGGTGCCACGCCTCTCTGACGCCCACAAGCCACAAGCTGTGGCCACAGTTTTGATGATATTATGAAAATTTTAATTGATATGTATTTGTTTCGTCAATAAATATCGATTGGCCTAATAAAAGTTTGCCACGCCCACTCTAACGCCCAAAAACCCATTAAACGCTTTACCCTGGCTAGCGCCTACATTTCCGCCTTTCATGGCGCCATCTAACGGATGACTTTGGAACAGCTGGCCAAGGTGCTTAACAGAGTCAACGTTAATTCTCGATAAGGATTTCTGGATAGCTGAGTAACGGGTATCTAATAGTCGAGGCACTCGACTATAGCGTTCTCTCTTGTTATTTTGTGTGAAGCTTGCTTATTGTCGTATTTAATTTTATTTTCAAAAATTTACGCTTGATAACTTCAGCACTTTCCATTCACATTTTTATTGGATTATATTCTTTAATATTTGTTGTCTTTTTTTACTTGCTCTCTGGCAATTTGTTTACCAACTTTGATTAATGGCTATTAGATTTTTAGCGTCAACCAATTACCGCGCACATAAATCCACCGCACAATCCGCGCGCGACTTTTGCCGCGATGCCTCAGGCAAGGAAAACACACCCACCAATCCACTCACGCACATCCGAGTACATATCTCCGGAATATATGTATGTATATAAAGGTGGCCTGTTTGTGCAATGATTTGTTTGTTTTGATTCCCTGGGCCAGATGGCGGAGTCGGAGTCCAATAGATGGTAGAGGCACTGCCGTTTGGCTCTGGCAAAACACCTTTTATTCAGTTCAGGTCGCAAGGCTCCACGGAGGGCCGGACAATTGCACAGTTCCCGACGTTCAGATAACGACTGACACACGGGATCTCGAATGGATTTTAGTCACGGGCAGATGCGCCCGGCGGAAATGTTGAGAGCAGTGTGGGCAGCACGTTACATTGGCAACACATGTTGCGATCCACAAGAGAGCACCGCATCTAGGAGCAACATGAGGCCAGCAACATTGTCTTCGAAAAAAAGGAAAACTGCAAGAAAATCTGAAAATCTTACAAGTCTGCCTGATCAGCCTGGAAATTTGTTAGCTTAACCAGTTTAAAAGCAGAATTTAATTTCATTTGGACATTGTGCATGTAGCATCATAAAAAAAAATGTCAGCAATCTCCCACACAATCTTCACAAGATGTTCATTCTAGAAGATGTACACTAAGAAAAAAGACGCCATAATTTTAAAAATAACCGTCTTTTATTAATAAATGTAATCATACTTTTTGCGAATCTTACTCAAAGCTTATTTATATATTTTTACTAGAGGAAATGTTTATATATTTAATTTGGCTGTAATTTGCAAGGGTTAATACATAGTGGATTTATAATCATTTTTTGCCTTCAGTGTAGCAACCATCTTCATCTGAATGCACATCAACAGCTTCAACTTTACGCCCATGCCTGGTAACTTTACTTCAGCCGCCTGAGAACTTCTTCTCAAGTTCTCTAAATCTCAAGATTGTGGACCGTTGGCTGCTGATTTTCTGCTCTTCGTGTGGGCAGTAGCACAGACATTACTTAACAATAATAATGAGATGGTGTTCTATTTCCACCTCCAACCAACATCTTATGGTTCTTGTTTTCGAACTACAAAATGTGTGATTTCCAGGAACTCAGACTTAAATATCGACTAGTAGAAAGCGAGAACTACTTTTCCAACTAATTGCCATTAAACGAATTGTGTATAAAAACGAAAAAGGTTTCCACCCATGAGTCACCAAATTTAGAGGAAGGAAACTTCTTAGCATGATCATAAAAACTTGCCCACCCTAAGACTGATCGATAAAAGACGAACCAAGAGGGTTGACGGCTCGAAATGAAGACTGAAAAAACCATTTATGGTCTCTACTTATTTTTCTTTCTGGAAAATTGATTTTTCTTGATGTGCGTACAAATAGGATTTGTCAGGCAATCAATAAAAGATTTGTAAATTTTTCAATAAATTAAAAATTTAAAGATAGCTGATTATAGCGAATTATGGGTGATAGATATGGTCTTAACGCATTAGTTCTTTAACATCTTTAGTGTTTCCTGTTAATTTATGTTCTCTTTCTTTTTGATCTCCAAACGCATTCTGCTCGCTCCTCTGTTTGTCATATTTGATTTTTGTTAGCTTCAAGGCAAACAAGTTCTGTTTTCTTTCGTTTGAAGATCGTAAAGATTGTTGTATTGTGGTTTTTGGGATGAGTTTTTGTAGGTGATATGCTTGCTGCGCGCTTCCCTCATTAAAGCCAATATTATGTATCAAATTTTGCGCTCAATTTGAGTTTTAAATTTGTTATGTAGAAATCCAACAAAAAATCATTGGTCATCAAAAGAGAAATATTCACAAAACTTTGTATAAATAAAACAGTTTAAAGTGGTATAATTAGATAATGACAAATATATATACTTATATATCTAAATGGTGTGCAAAAATGAAAAACATTTCATTAATTGTGACGTATGTGCCGATTTGGCAAAATATTAATTTTTCTTAATTGCCAAAAAAACGTTCTTACAGAAGAACATTTTTGAAAAACCAATGCTTGTATATTTTATGATGTTATTTATGTTGTCTTCTAAAAAAGGCATCTAAAACATATTTAATTTATATTTAAGTACCTACATTTGAAGTACCTACAACAAAGCTATATAAACAAGTAATGGTTAAATAATATGTAAGTATTTTTCTAATATTGTATGCAATACGTATTTTCAGCCTCATTTAGTTGAAGGGGCGTAATCGGCTTCATGCTGGAAAAGGCCTTATCCAATTATTAGATTTTCCGAAATATTCCCAAGCACCACATTAGTCCCCGCATCCCCTTTCTTATGTAAAGCCTCTGAGCCAAGTTAAACCAACTAATTTGCAACATTCTCAACTTTTCAACAAGTTTTCAACGACGACTCCCCAAAAACTAAATCTAGTCAACAGTAAGAGGCAATTTAATAATCATGAGGCAATTTACACTGCACTTCAGCCATTTTCCAACCCTTCCTTCGAAGCTAATGAAATCATTGCCAGTGCTCGATAAAGCGTTAAAAAATCATCAAGTTGCTAATTAGGTTGACTAAAATGGTTGAGCGAACGCGATACAAACTTTCTTGTGGGGCGATGGTGGGTTAAGGCATTAAAACCCACCTATCAGCGGAAAACCCCTTCCCCTTTAACCCATGCAAAACTTTTCTGGCCGAACAAAAAGCTACTTTGTATTCTTATACTTTGTAGGGTAAAAAGGTATATTGTATTCGTTGAAATGTATGTAACAAATAGAAGGACCATTTAATGTTCTCTACCAGGGAGTCAAGTTCTCAGTTATCATGTTTAACTTATTTCTTGATTATCTTTATTTAAGAACGAATTTTTTATAAAATGAAGTAAGAATTCTATTTAAATCGTTAAACGACTTAAACGTTTCACAAAAAACGGCGAAGTAAACTTAATAAAGTACGCTAAAAGTTCTCCAATTTTACTAAGGGCTTTCCTCAGCTTGAGTGTAAGACATTTATTCTTGATCTTAAAATTAATAAGTGCATTTAATATGGCTACTAAAATAATTTGAACTTCATACAAAAAAATGTTCCCACCCTAGTTAAGTACACTATAACCTTTTGATTTTTTGATAATAAGTACACATATTGTTTCTTAATATTTTTTTTTTATTGCTATAACATTAGATTTCTGGATTTCCTTAAGTTAAGTTCGAATCGTATTTGATTTAAGAATGTTAATCTTATTTTAAGAGTTTGTCCTTGAATCAATTATTTTTTTAACAACAATTGTTTTCTTGATTTAAATACAAACACCTCAAACATTCTTGATACAGAAATTTTCAAATTCTAGTAAGATCGTACTAAAAATTAGAACAGCGGCTTTAGTTTTTAATGTGGTCTTGTCTGTCAGTAAGATTGTCGAGATCTCGGGAACTATATGAGCTAGAGAGTTTAAATTCAATTCATTTAGCATTCATATGCTGTATATTAATATAAAAAGCGATCAACGCAAAAACTGTTTTTCAATCAATTGTGTTAGGAATGGCAGATAAATATACCTCAAAGCCAGATGGCGCCAATAGAATTACAAGTGCCGCCATCTGATGGCGGCTTTTTTGTCTTAAAATTAAATAACAGAGTACCGGGTATTTAAAGTCGTGAAAATAGTGTCTGTACTTTTTCTTTATTGCTTTCGAGAAAGTTTTCACTACCTTGCAGATATATTTAATTAATATGGCCGATATCCAGAATATCACCTAGTCGCAAAATTGAATATCTGTGGCCTTGAAATGCGAACAAGAAATGAAAAAACTGGCCTAAAACCTATAAAACATAAATACAACTGCTTTAAAAATATAAATAAAATAACAGTTTAGAGTACCAAAATTAAGTTTTAATTCAGCATATTAAATTTAAAATTGATCGCATTAAATACTACAAGAAATTCTTTACGAAATTTTTAACTTATATTGTTAGAAGGAAATACAAGTTCACGTTAACTTTTATTTAATAATTTTAGCAACTAATTAACCTACAGAAGTTCAACTAAGGTATATTTTTAGGAAGGTAATTAAATTTTTACTCTTCAAATAAGTAAGTAATAATACCCTACAATAACTCTACATTTGCAGTTTTTGCTTGCGACAAAATTAGCAGAAATGTAATTGCATTTTTCCAAAGATTCATTACCCCTTAGGGGTCAGAAAGTAATTAGCATTTCCTGATCGACGTAATCAATCAGGCAGCGGGGGCCTAAAGGGGGAGGGCTGCAGGTTAAAGTTCCAATAAACCTCCAGGAAAAAACAATAACAAAGCAAAACACAGCAAAATCAAGAGCGATAAACAAAGTGGAGCGACTGCATGGGAAATGGGGGGAGAGCGGGGAGAAGTGGAGGGCAGCGAATGGGTGTGGCAACTTTTGGCCCAAATTGTTTTTTCCGTTGTTGCTGTGATTGTAACAGAAGAATTTTCCTGGCTAAGCTGCTTGGGAAACTATAAGATACATTTTGGGGGCGTGTTTCCAACAATTTTCAAGTTGATATCTTCACCAAATGGGGCAGTGTGTGCAGGAATCCAGCTAAGGAGAGTCATGAACAAACAGGCTAAGTAAGCGTTCGGCAGGGGAATAAAATGGCCAGGCCACTAAAGGCAACTAAATTGGCGTAAAACGGGGGGCCAAGGGGCAACAAAATACTTTGTGCAGCAGCTAACTGGGTAAACTAAAATGAATTTGTAAGTTAGAGTGAATGCCTTGGTAGCATCAATTTAAGGTGGAATGTTTTTAAAAGTAAGGAGCTTATTTACAATAGATAACTAGATATCCCTTAAATAACATATAATTTTAAGGAAAACCCATTGTCTTATTTCCCTACCTCCTTCCTTCTTGCTTTTCTTTCAGTCAGTCTTTACCTAGCGCACTTTGTAGCCACTTTTATGACATATATAACCCCCAGTAGAATAAGAAACCACACAAAGTTGTCAGAACACACATCTGCCACGCCCATTTTGCACCACCCACTTTCCACAAGAAACTCAGATATATATTTTTGCGAACGGCGAATACACGTTGGTATTCCCCCCAGATTGTCAGAGACTTATGCCTTTGCCATTGAAGACGAGTTGCATTTATCGGCGGTGTTGGTGTACAGATACTTGCGTTCTTTAGGTTGATATCTGTAGGTTTACAATTTCCTTTATTTTCCTTTGATACTTTCTCCAGCTTCCTGCTTAAACACTAGAAGAAAATTTTAATTTTCAATGAAGAACTAAACTATGTAAATATATTTTGTATATGTAAAAAATCGAAGAGTGAGATTA